TCTGTGATCTGGTGAAATTAATACTAGGGTTAGATCAGAGAGTTTAAATGGAACATCTAAGCAGGGGTGTTAGGTACAGCAACTGGTGGGGAACCCTCAGGTGGACTTCTTAAATAGGTAATATAGAAAAGTTATATGTGTAACCAGTTGTATACTTGTCTAATAGTTCATTATAGATCTGTCTATATAAAACATGTACCTACTATAAGTATTAATAAAAAGCTTGAACCAAAGAAGTCACCTTAATACTGAAAAAAAAAAATCAAAAAAAAGAAGCATATGACTTCTATTCAAAGAACTTATTTTATTTTTGTTTCAAAAAGAATATACTACAAGACAGATAAGTCAGGTCCATAATGTTTTTTCTTTTACAATCTTATGAATAAATTAAAAGTACTCAAAACATTATATGCTTGAAGATTTTAGAAGGGTTAGTCACCTACCAAAAGTGAGTAAACCAACTTAAAGAAGGATTATAAATTTAGTTACCTCCTGTCAGTGCTCTAATGTCATGCAAATATAGTTCTACTTGAAAGCAAATAAAAACCTTAAAATTTCTGAAACTACTATTTATTATATATTCTATAACCATGGTTTAGTATTGAGGATTAAAAAAAAAAACTCTATCTTAATAAATCTTGTCAAAAGAGTAGTATCAATTTGTAAAAAAATATAAAATTGAATTGTCAAAGTCTGATCAAAGGTAATTTTATCTAACAAGTCAAAGTTTCAAATTTTTAGATCAAATGGAAAGTAGTATTATTAGAAATGTCCTGAGAAGCCATTAAATTAGTTTCATATTAAACCTACAGTAAAATATAAGAATGACTTGATTATGATTTGGACTTGTTTTATCTCTTATAACATTAATGATTTTTATAAAAATTGATAACACAATGAATACCAAATTATACTAACAAATACTTCACAAAGATTTTTTAAGAACTGTAAGAGATCACAGTTTTGATATTAAAGATATTATTTTTCAACAAGATGCAACTTCACATATAATGACTTTTGACCAAACATCTGCTTAGAAGAAATAAGATTAGGTTTTTTGATTAACCTTCCCAATCACCCAACCTCAACCCTATCAAACACTTGTGGATTAAAATAGACTGACATCTTAGGAACCTTTCCAGTCAAATTTCAAGTGAACAAGACCTTTGGAAAAAGATTCAGAAGGTTTGGCAGAAAATCAATCTCGAAACCTGCACGAACCTAATTAAGTCAATGCCAACATGTATTCGTGATGTGATTAGAGCTCGGGGTGGTTACACCTGATGGTAAAGGTGGAAATCAATTAAAATAAAAAAATTTTTTTTATTTTTGATACAAATTTTTTTTTTTGTATATTGCAATAGTGCTGCTGTAAAAAACAAGCAAAAATAATGCTCATGCCCATAAAAAATTCAGACCATTTTTTTTTTTTTTTTAATTTTATTAGTGAAAACGATACTATTTGCGAATTTAATAATAAAAAAAAATCGAGAATTCAACCCGAATTGCGCGAAATAATACGATCAAGCATTTTTTTTTTTTGCTCCATTATTTATGATTGCCACTGTATTAGGACTAGCAGAAATTAAGCAAAAAAGGTTTTTTTGTAGCTAAAAGTCTACCCAAATATAGAAGCTTTTGGAATTAAACCAAAAAACTTGTCACAAGATTATTTTAATTACAGCCGCACTTCCTAAATGTGCAAACTACAGAAATTTTGTAACCGTAGTTATATGAGATTATTAAAAATTACCAATAGTAATTGTTCTGCTAAAAATTTTTATATATACTTTATATAATGCTTTTATATTAGTATATTTACATTATATTTATAAAAAATACGGAAATTATGATTTGCACACTAAATTTTAAAAGCTTATTAATGACAATCTCATGCCGATGAGCTCTAACAATAACATAAAACTCGTGGATCCACCTAGTTCAAGTTCAAAAGGTCTAAACATTACATTATCTAATATCACTTTAGTAAATAATCATTCTCTATTTATTAACATATATAACCCCAGAAAACCGATCAGGGCCCATTTCAATTGAGGATAATCATTCATAAGAATGGTTATCATTCCGACATACGGTAAGAATCTTTAGAAGATAAAAAAAAATTTTGAATAATCAATTGTGATAAGGTATATATGAGGTTGCACATACACAAAAAAAATATATATACCCTTTAACTTTTCCAATGATATCTTCTTTATGAATCCATTGCTGTCCTGGATTATACAATCCCCGATCATCTACTTGGTTATTATCACCTTTAGTAAGAATGTACTGTTTCCCAGTCTTTCTCCTATTATTTTTGATAATCAATTGTTAATATTTATAAAATACGATGTTATAAAACCATAAACTTACTCATCGTGTAGTTTTATTACTCGATGAACAATTGGCACATCTCTTCCGGAGATCTTGAACACGCATATATCACCCACTCGTACTGGTTCATCGGGCATTCCTAAGAATAACAGATCACCACGATAAAAAGCTGGTTCCATACTTCCACTGATGTAAAATATATATATATTTATATATGAATGATATTGATATGGATACGAAACAATTATAGAGACAAATAAGGCAAATATGTGTTGAAGAGTTTACCTCAAAACTACTACTATAGGACTTTCACTATTTGTGTAAAGTGCCAAACCTTTCCATACCATTAGTGCGGAAGAAACAATCATTAAAAAATTTAAAAATTGTTGCGCAAGCTAGTAATTAAAAAGTAATAGGTAAATTAATATGTTCAAATAAAATAGACGTATAAGTATGTGTAAGTTTCTTTACCTGGCGCTTGCTCATTTTACGCAAAAACCGTATTTCTTCTTCAAACATTTTTACAGAAAAAAAATCGAAACTTCCCTAACAGTAAAAATTCAAAATTCATTTTATTTCTACTGAAAAGTATGGTTACACGATGTAGATGTATATATTTTACAATAAGCCACTAAAATTTTGCCAGATTTTTTTTAGAAAGTGATTCTGGAAATACTAAATACCACTATTACTTTTAACTAATAAGATAATAGGACATGGTGAAACCCGTGCTGTAGATCAGTAAAATTCGCTACTTATATCACACTAGGGTGAAATCCGCGTTTAGCTATCGCTATGACGAAAAAACGGATTTCACTCTCATGTAAATTTAACTAATTCACAATGGGGTTGTAAAATAATTTCTTTTGAGCAATTAAACAAGGGCATTCTTAAACATGTTCTCTTAATATAACAGATAAATGAATTCAAATGCTAACTATAAAATTTATATATAATGTCAATACGTCACATTAATATGTCACGTCAATACGTCATAGCATGTACTGAATCTGTGATAGGTTATGCCGATTAGTGTTTCGATCCTATTCTTCAAAAGCTATCCGAATATCGGATCTTCTAAAATGCATTCGGGTTATTATTCGAATTTGAACAAATTCGAATTAGATTAGAATTCGGATCAGGTATATATGTAAATACTAGAGATATATCTTGCACAAGGCAGAATTAGTATACAATTTATATGATTTCATACAAATGATCTTATCCAAAGCCAAATTTTGAAATTCACTTGAGATACGTATAAGGCTATACGATGCAATTTGCACATACACTACATACGTATATACGTACGTGCACATGCATGTATGTGTCACATAGGGGTGCTATTAATTCAATTAAATATGTATAACGTTCTTTTATTAACGATCTATTTTGCTCGTTTGACATCTGTAATAAACCTTAATCACGCAAAAGTGACAAAAAAATCAAATATTAAACTTTATTTAACTTTGAATTGCGTGTTTAGAAATATTATTTACAGCAGTATTAACAACATACTATTGTTTTTTTTCTTTTTTTTTTTTATAGATTATTGAATTTCAAACAGGCTTTCAATCCTTCTTACTATGATCCATGTCATCCTCATTCCATTTTGGCGCAAAAACATCTATTTTACCTAGATTTCTTTTTAAAAATAAAATTTGACCTACTAAACTTGGATCTAAATTTATTCTTTTAGGGTTAATAAGATTGCTAGCATCTGAAAATAATATTTCATTTGATACCAATGTTGTTGGTATTACAAGATATTTTCAGATAATTTTAGTAAGTTTTAGAAATTTTGCAAATGTATTTTTTACTATTTCAAAGGATCATCTGTTTTTAATGCTAATAGCAATGACAAATAGTTTAAAATTTCATTAAGGATTTGTGAATTCAGTACTAAGTTATCTGTTTTTTTCATTTGATATTGTTAAAGATATGTTTTATGTAAACATATTGAAGATTTATGTTAGATAGTATTAGATTAACTGAAAGATTAGATTCTGAATTTTCTAATTTACTAAATTCATTATGAAGTTTTTGAATAATAAGTTGTTTTTTAGAATTATCATCAAAGAAATCTAAATTTTTATAACAAGTGTTTAGCAAGGTTGTTATTAAGGGTAGGGTGTATGTAGATTATTTTTTATATGATCTAGATGGTATAATAGATTTTTATATAGTAAATTAAATTCTATTTGTATATACCTTGAATTCTTTTAAGAAGCCTTATGTTTTTTGAGAGATTATATAAAAAAGTTAACTTTAATTAACTAATTTTTTTTTTTTTTTAATGTTAAAGTGACCTCTTTGGTTTTTTAACTTTTATTAATTACTTATCAGTATTGTAGTTCAATGAACCATTACAGAAGGGCATACAATTAGCTACATGTATAACTTTTCTATATTACCTATTTAAGAAGTTTGCCTTAAGGTTCTTTACCAATTGCTGTACCTAACATTTCTGCTTGGATGTTTTACTTTAAACCCTTTGAATCTGTAACCTGTATTAACTTACTGGATCATATCCAGATACCCAAATCATTATCTTAACCTTAGGACTAATTTATTCTCAAGATAAACCCTTCAGAGCCTTCTGTATTTATTTTTATAGCTGACCTAGATATCACTATGATAGAACCAACACTTGTGGTCAAGGCTAACCATTAAACTACTATGTCCTTGTAGAGTTTACTTAAACTTCAGTATCTACTTCACAGTATAACCCTGATACTTTAGTATATCCTTACCTTTTTCATTGTCTTTTTACCAAACTTTCAATTCAGATAACCTATGTAGAACTATGATCAGTTCATCAATATATCAAGTTGGCCCAATATCCTTTTCTTCTAGTTCATTTTAGTAATCTAGTTGGTGGTACTTCTGAAATTTCCAACTCAAAGGTTCTTGTCTGTCTAGTTACTATGATCAGGTACTAGATCTTGGTATCTATTTCTCTGAACTAGTCTTTATAGTAGAACTGTTAAAGATCTAGTTATCTCTCTATTTAGGTCTTTCCAAATAAACTTTTTATTACCTAATTTCAATGAATTTACATAGTCACAAGAACTTATCTAGTGTTTGCACTACCTAATTTGTTAGTTTGCATTTCTTTGTATAACTCCAACATTGCACAGATGCCTTATGACCTGTCAGTTATGCTAGTGCAACTACTATTACAGGTATTCTAACCTAATTATTAGTAACAGTTGCCATAATATGAATATTATATAGGTAATTATCCAAACTTTCACTATTGATAGAATTTGAACACCCAAACTACTACTTGGAAGGTTGACAACCTAACTACTTCACTAGGTTGCCATATCTCATCTTTAATTGGCTAATTTTTAAAAAACTATAAAAGAATTTTAATAGTAAATTTTTATATCTAATTTTTAAAAATTTATATATTAATGAGTTTTATGTTAATTTTAATAATTTTACTACTATTAAAATTACAAGAACCTACTTTAAAACTTTAATTAAAAACTCAAAAAATATTTAATTAGTAAAAATTTTTATAATTGAAATTATAAAAAAATATACTATTAAGTTTATATATAATTTTAAAATATTACACTCTATTCTTAAACTAAAATTATTTGAATTATTCTAATAGTATATTAATACATCATATATATTTTGTTTAATTTTATCCAAACTGCCTATTGTGTTTAATGAAGATATTTGTTTAACAATATTATTAATAATTTCATCATTATCAAACTTTATAGATTGTATTTCTTTATCTAATTTAAACACAGTATCTTTGGTCAAGAAAAGATCATTATTTAATAGTAGTTTATTTATTAAGTTATAAATTATTTCTTTAATAGTCAAAAGAACTTTATTTAATATTATATATATATTTCTTAAAAACTCTTGTGTTGCCATCTCAAATGAAATTATTAAGTCAATAAATTTGTCTAGTAGCTCTTATTTATTATTTAAAAGAAAAATCTTTTTTAATTTAATACTATCTGTTATAACTTCCTGATTAATTAATATATACAAATTAGTTTGAAATTGAATAATAACATTTTTTAGAAAAAAAAGATGATCTTAAGAATAATATAATAAATTCTATCTTACAAACATATCTTGAATACAATGCACAATATCTGTATAATCTAGTTTTATCTGCATTTTCTTTAACCTAGTATTATAAAGTAAAAATGAAAAAATTAATTAGTTGGTTAAAACTAATTAATTAAACTTTTTTAGATATCAACTAATCAATTAAGCAATTAATTAACTAATTGATTAATTGCAACTAATTGATTAAAAAATTAATTGATTAGTTACAATAAATAGATTAAAAAATTATTTAATTATTTAATTAATTTGTTGCAACTAATCAATTAGTTGTTAACTAAAAAAATAATTAACTACTAATTAATTACTATTCTAATCTTTTTATTTGTTTTGAAGATTGAAAAAATTGAATTAATCTTCTTCTACATATTACTAAATTTCAACTAATGCAAGTTTCTTTTTAATAACCAAATAGAGTATGGGCTGTGCAAAAAAAAAATTTGAGTTTGTTACATCCATCTTTTTGGTTTAATAAAGAAAAAGTTACAATTATGTTTAACTTATTGTTAGTGATAATTGATGCTATGCAGTGTCTAAGATTTTAAGCTTCAATATTTTTATAAATTTTATTAGCAATGACTTTATTGATATATAAAAAAAATATATATTTATTTTTTAATATGATATCTTTAATTTTAAAATTTGATATAATCTAAATTGTAGTAATTCTGAGATATCTATATTTGGCTTTGCTAGACTAAAAAGCTATTATAAGAGAAATATTTTTTGTTATTTAGATAATAAGATTTTTTAAATTTTTCTAATTATATTTGTAATTTTTAACAATCATAATTATGATTTTTTTTTCTTCTAATATAATAAAAGAAAAATTAAACTTAACTATTTTTTTCTTATATACATTATTAGTAACTGTAGAAAGAGGCTAGTTTATAAATAATATTCATTTAAGAATTACTTTTTTATACTTTTTTTAAATGTGTTTAAGATGGGGATGAGTTTTTGTACAAAATCTGTAATTTTAAAATTTTATTAATAAAAAAAATAGAAAAAAAATATACTTTTTTTTATAACTTCTATTCCATCTTATAAAACAATTTTATGATTGTCTCTAAGATGCATAATATGGTTTTCTGTTAAACTTCTAACATTCTTATATTCTTTGTTATATTTTAAATCATCTTTATTTAATAATTTGCAAACCCAAATCTCTTTACTCTTATTATTAACAATCTTGTCAAAATAGTCATGAATAAATGACAGATTTTTGTGCTTGTATTAGTTTTTTTTTTGGTTCTTTGGTTAAGCAATTTGTAAAACTATTAATATATTAAAGTTTTTATTTATATTATATGTTAACATTTTATTTATAATTATATTTTGACATCTTTTTTTTTCTAAAATTATGACAGAAAAATGTATTGTTTAAATATTAGATTCTGTAATTGAAAGTAAACAAA